GGTTTTAGGGACAGTGCTGTATGCGTCTTTTCTAGTAGTTGCTAGGTGAATTTGGTTACAACCTCCGTGACATATTGTAGGAATATATATTTCATCCTTGCAACTGGTGGTTGCAGAATGGTTGCTAACCAGTCTCTAGGCCTATTTAACCCTTAACAAGACACACTGCTCAATTCAAACCATTTGACTTCTGACCTAGTCCACCTTAAATCTCTCATGGGAGTGGTGCGCAGGCACGCCGTTAGTCCAGTTACCCAAATTCAATATGGCATGCAATACATAGACCTTCAGTGACCTTAAGTTACTGCCAATGATTGATAAGTAGGTAGGAACATCTACTACATGAAGAGCAGAAGCACTGTGTTCTGTCATGTAACTACCAGAACAAAAACAAATAACCTTACAGTACACGCACACACATTGATTGCTCCTAAATGATCCGTCTCCCACTTGTGTTTCCAATTTGCAGAAGATTCCCAGGTTGAGATGAAAAACCGACCCAGTCTCTCTGCTGCAGATCATCTCTGTCAACACACTGAAACTTTTCCCCTCCTCGCCTTTTCATGCACACCTTTCAACTGAGCTCTGGTATTAATATTACAACAAAAGGGATGGCTTGCATACGAGGTCATGCTTTTTTTCCCCTCCTGAAAGTGTTATCTAAATTTAGATATTCTTATCAAATCATACACTGATTTGAATATAATGACAGAAAAAAGGTACTTATGCTCACTACAGTCTGACACATCTCAACATTTTGGCTTACAAAAGATCAAATTAGTACTTTACGACTGCGTAACAGCAAATCCCAAGAAGCGTTTAGACTTTGTTGTATGATGCCTTAAGGAGCGCCACGCAAACCAGTTTTCACATGCTCAATCTGTGCTACAATTACACTAGCATTTGACAGTGATTACGGGAGCGAGTTTGTGTACTGAGTGACATTATGCACTGTGGCGGATGGTTAATACTCCTTCACCCTGCCATTTATTTCAGTGGCAAGGAAGGCTTTCATAAAGCCGCGGCAAAGCAGCGACAACGAGAGGAGACTTTAGAGGAGATTTTGGAGACTGACATGCTGAAATGCAGGGTGAGTCACTGACAGAAAAACCATAAGAGATCATTTAAACTGCAACGGAACAACTGTCCAGCGTGGCCTCACGTGCTGTAACTACATCTGAATCTGCTGTATTTTTGCAGCAGCAGGTAAAAGCAGCAGAATTGCAAAATACAGCGTGAACATTGTTATTCATCCATTAGGAGCTGATGGAACAGCTAGGTGCTGCGGTGCATATAGGTCGCTACACGATACCATCTAAAGCAAATTAATAAGCACATTATGGCCCTCTATTAAAACGCACTCACTGTGTGCGTGCGTATTAGTGTGCACGTGTGTGCAGGCCTGTGCGCACATGCATGTAATCCCTCATAAATGGAAACGGTGATTATGCGTTACTGACAAGAGGCATTGGTTATGCTAGACAAGACAAGTGTGTGTGTGTCTCTCCGTGTATACACACTTGGCATTCATTAAGTCGAAACAAAACAAGCAGCAGCAGCTGAGTGTGTGTCTTGGCTGAGACAACAGAGAGAACAGATTCAAAGAGAGCCAAAAGTGGGGTTCAGTAAAAAAGTAGGGTGAAAAAAGAAAAAGAAAAGAGGAGGAGGAAAAAAAAAAAAGAGTGAGAGAACACCAAAATTAAGCTTAGATGTTGGTCTAACATAGATACTTCTGCCCACAAACACACAGCGCCCGAACTTTTGCCTCAAAAGTTTGCATTTGCTTCCACACACAGCTGAACTAGTTGCTAAAAGTCAGATTAAACAAAGTAAACCGGCTTCAATAAATCTTGAATGATGTGATCAAATATGCTGGAAAGTTTTAAACATTTACAGCTTGCCCAAATAAAACCAGGTTAATGTTTATCAAAATTCAGCAATGGATTTCCTACCCACACACGCCACTGTATACAAAACCAAAAATCTTCACGTCATTTAAAAGTAAACCACACTGGAATCTGGTTTTGACTGAACCATGAGAGTGGCAGCACAAAATTCAAACAGAAGACTTGTGAATGATTTACTCATTTCACTTAGGACTGAACGAGATTCTGCAACCAGATGATGACTAACTGTGGTAATTATTTGAGGGGACGCTCCTGTAAAACAAACACACACACACAATCTTAATATGAAACTACAACCTCTTTGTTATTGACAGGTAAACACACGTCAGGCCGTTTTAATCAACCTAAGTCAAATATGGGAGAGGAACAGAAGAGCAGGAAAACAACCAGATCAGTAAACCGTGGCATTAAAGAGACTGCATAGGGTCATGAATCTAAGAGAGTGTGTGCGCGCCTCGACTCAAACTTGGCAAGGGAGCCCCATTTGGAGAATATGGTCAAGCTTGTAAGACAGGGCAACAATAAGCTGGCATGTTTGACGGGATGTCCTGCCAGTCTACCCACCAATCTCAGGAGCATGGGAAGGCAAACACAGAGCTGATCTCAAAGACTTCTAAAGAGCGCCGCTTCCTGCCAAAAATTACTCGCACCTGTCCTTCTGTCTCTGCCCCTCTTCCTATCGCTCTCTCTTCGCGGCTCCACCCAGCCTCTCTTCGTCTACACTCGATCCCTTCATCCTCGATCCACAAACTTTTCCTTCACGCAGAATTGGAAGGCGCTACGCCATCGCTCCTCCCTTCTGTTTTGGCCAGTGCCAGGTGTAAAAAGCTCCTGGCATCGTCACAGTTAGGCCTGTTTAGGAACAGTGCAGGGGCGCCCACTGCCAGGGCACTGGAGTCATCCTTCAAGCATAAAGCGCGCACACAAAATAAGCTTTTTAAGAGGGCATTAGGCATTGCCAAGTACTGGCTAGGCTTGTGTTTCATTAGCATCAGATAGAGAGTCTTTCTTCATTCAGCCCCACTGTGAGTATGTGTGTGTGGTGAACTAATGAAAACCACAGAGCAGGCTGGCCTCTAACTGAACTCCACTCAACACAGAGCACTAGAGGCCACCAGAGCAAGAGAAAATGAAAATGTGAGCTCATCTTTATTATAATTTACTCCTTCAGCGCTTTTCTTCCTTACAGAGATGAGCATTTATGCTTTACCATCTATTTAAGCCACATGATCCTTTGGTTATTGCCTGGTCAGGCAGCCCACACTGCAATTGTGACTGTACAAATAAACAAAGTTGCTGTGTCTGACTTTAAGATCGACTGTACAAGCAGTCAGAAACCGCAGAACTTCACCGAGGCTGAAAACTCCCTTCAGAGCCTGTGAACGTGTATGCAGTCCTTGGATCCAGAAGGATATATGGATCCATATTAGGATGATCTTTTCTTGAGGATATTTTTTTCATATTTCAATTTGACATATATTTTCAAAAGAAAGATTTTCCCTATCTTGCAAAACCTATGTACCCAATAATAGATCTGGATCGTCTCCAAACGCTACTCAGTCAGAGCCAAGCCTCATTTCTGGTAAAATGTCCAAACAAAAAGAATCACTGAACTGATGAAGTGAGAAAGAAAAGGGGGGGGAACATTCCCTTCTTTCTTTTATACTTTTATCTTGTATAAGTTGGCCCAGGGGCCACCTGCTTCAAATCAAGGTAGATGAAAGCTCGTAATAACCAAAGTGAGATTTTGAGGTTACAGTATCGAATGACAGCTAGGAGGACTTGGGCAGGTGCTTGATGCGCGGTGAATGGAGCCTGTATGGGCTGCTCATTACAGAAGGACATCTGCTGCTGTCCGGCCCCCAGACTCCGCCTCCAGCTTTACACTGACGCTTGGATGTCGTGTCAATGCGTGTGAGAGACCAGAGGCAGAACAAAACCACACACACACACACACACACACACACACACACACGCTTGCACAACAGGAGGAGGCATGTGCTCTTACTCACATTCACACCTGCTACCGACAGTGGCTGTCAGCTTGAGAATGAAAGTATAAATTTAAAAAGAAAAAAAAAAGGTTTATGGCTGCTGCTTTTGGACACAGAAATGCAAGGAGGAATGCATGATGCTATCTCTGTGTGGATGCGTTGCTGAGGTACTCACATAACAGATGATGTGAAATCTGCTTAAAACTCGTTTTAAGCATCGTTGTATCGTTTACTTCATTGTAATCTTATTTCAGCTGAAGATTTCAAGCCTTTTTTTTCCTTTTCATGCTGAACGCATTAAAAGCATCGCATTTAAACATCATTATATCACTCCCCCCCCCAACCCCCGCTCAAGAACATCTCTCTGAAAATGACTGTTGTTTCACAGACTTAATCATTTTCAATAATTCACGCGTTACATAAACGCCTTCATAAAAAAATAATGCTGGATGGAAATTAACAGCTTTTTTGTGCTCAATTCCAATTTTTAACCGATTCATTCGGAAATGCATGGGAACATTGTTTTAAGTGGCTAATTATAAGTGACTGAAACTGTGTTTGCATTAGGAGATTTAAAGGGGGGGGGAGGGGGCGACTGTCACAGAACTCAGAGGCAACTTGCTCCTCTCTAAACATTTCGCCGCACACATTTGGGAGAGAAGAGGGGAGAAAAAAAAAACACGACAAAGTGTGTGTGTGCAGCAAGTTCATAAATCAGTGCAATGTTGCAGTGAAACATTTTGGAACTGATTTTTACCGGGGATGTTGTAACGGGGGTATTACGAGGGGGGGGGTGGCATGGGGAGACAGATCGAATAAATTATGGAAAGAAAGAGCAGATGAGAGAAAGGGGAAGACGAAGCATGTGTCTCAAAAACAATGAAGAGAACCCGAAAGCAGCTGGTGTCATGTGGCAACGTATGAAACCTCAGAGCTCAGAAAAGTCAGCGCAATTCTGCTGCACTTACAATTTATACCAAGTGTGCACGGCATGCTCTCAACTTCTCACAGTAGTCTTTCTGCATGCATTTAACACCCAAACATTCTGCAAACTTCTTTATAACCCAGTGACACAGAAACATCTCACACACACACACACCTCTTTTTTGCAGGACTGTCCTCGCAGTACTCGCCACTTCCTTTCAGGCCCTGACGGCGCAACGACCCGTCTTCTTTGTGGCTGCCCTTTGACCCCGAGCCGTTGAGCTGCCCATTGGCGAGGGAACCTGGAAAAAAAGGAAAATGGTTACAGCCTGGCCAGCATACGTTTCCAGCTTTCTGCCGCAACTCATAAAAAACGCTTCTTTGTCAATAAAACATTAGACCAGAGAATCAATGCTGAATATCTAGATACATCTCGAGCCTCTGGGGAATAAACAAAAGTTTATATATGACAGTGTTAAAACAGCCTTTTTTGATATCATCATTAATTACGGTAGTTCTGCTTCATCTGAGAGTGTAGGGCACAGAAAAAGAGGGACGAACACAAAGAGAGCACAAATTAGTTAAACATCTCAAATGCACAAGTACACCTGAGCCAGACATACCTGTATTCACCTGTAGAGGTTGTTGCAACATTTTATTTTATTTTTTTTTGCATATACTTACATACGGGCCTTCACACCTCATAATGCCACAGCTTTTTGCAGCATCATGGGGTAGTTTTGAAGAGGATCCGAAGAAGTTAAACCCTATGACACTTGTAGTATAAAGAACAACTTTACTGCTTGCCCGACATGTATGTTGCGTGATGGTCCTTCATCAGGGTCATCACGCAACACATTACAGACAAGGAATATGTCACACATATCCACATACACATCTGCCACTGAGGCAGCAACTGGGTTGCGCTGATCATGTGGTTTGGAGTCAACCGTTGCCCCTGGCAATAGGGAGAAACCAGTGGGAAATTTGGGGTGGTACCTTATATAGCCATAAGCTGGAGAAAGTACAACTGCGTGGTGGTGTTTGAGTTTTGCCCCAAATTCAAAAGATCTGAACTGAAAGAAAACTTTTAGATGATACAGGAAAACGAAAAATCCTATGCAAAATATAAGGTGATTAATAAAGAACAGATCATAAAACCAGAAAAAATAGAAATCTCTGAACTGCCCCCTGGCCAGCTTAGGATAGAAAGGTACTGAATCTCCTTCATACTGACATTTCCCTACGAGCAGCTGTTGTTGTCTTTGACTTACAATATGTGACGCTTGCCCTCTGACAAAGAATTTTTATGAACAACCTAAAGCCATTCGCAGAAATGGCTACTGCTGGGCTTGACGTTCTCCCTGAGCCCAATTGACAGAGCCCTAATTAAATATTTAGCAAGCAACTCGCACAAAACAAAATAAGCCCCCCAGACAGATTCTTAAATCAAAAGCAACAACAGGCACCGAGAATTCTAATTAGGTCAAATGTAGGAGTCGAAGTCAACGGTAATTGAGGCAGACAACCAAATAAAAAAAGATATCAACAAGATTTGGTTTCAGCGTACGCGGCTCTTGTAGTTGTTGGAAGGTGTACGCAGGGGCTTGCCCGATTTAACAGCAGAGCGTGAGTGGGCTTGCTTATCAGGGAGGCAATTGGACAAGTTTAAAGCTTTTTGGGGTCATTACAAAACAGGACAGCGCTGCCAAGGAGACCAATCGACTGGAGACAGAGGGGCAGTAACACGTTTAAAAATGTACTTCCCTTGCCAACTCAAGTGTCACTTTGCTGAGCGGAAAGTTGAAGATTTATATCAGTGAGTAAAACAACACTGCAAATATTTGACACAGGGGATAATTCATCAGATTTTTTACCTCTTTTGACCTGTTTTGACAAGCATTTCTGCCTGGCTGGACTTTTGGTATGGCAGGCTGCTGAATTATTCACATTCATTTTGAAAAGAGCAACGGTGACTCACTAAACACTCACATCTCGCAGGGGTTTGTTTAACAAGAAACTTCATAAGCCATCATAAACTCTTTTATTCACTAAAAGAACACCTCCCCACTGGTCTATCACCCTCTCTCTCTTTCGCTGAGTAACTCGTAGTTTTCTCGTGACACCCGGCCAAATTCCTTTTTGACTGATGCTTCTGAAAAGCCTGCTTCACAAACTCCTAATAGTGGGTGTCAAAAAGGAAAACAAATTATTACGATTACCGCAGAGGAGCAGGGGTTAGAATAAGTGGCAACTTGAATGATATCCTGCTAGCAAAGACAACTGCTGCCGAACAAGCCCGGGCGTCGTGTCATCTGAGAACGATCGGACGGGAAGCGGGGTGGCGAGATCAAATGATAATGGAGGAGACAGGATGAAGTTGAGTGATTGTAGAGCAGGTTAAAAAAGCAGGTTTTCAAACATATGATTTAACTGAGATTTATAAAAGTGCTCTGGGCTGAATGAACACACACACACACACAGTGACACTTTCTCATTACTGCATAAACAACCGGGCTGTTGGGGTTTGCTCACACACGCAAGGCAGGTCAGCACCTGACTGCGGAGACACAGTCATCAGATGTATCTTTGCGCTCATAAAGTTAACAAAGACCGCCGCGATGAGTAAGGCCATCGCACTGCTGGCAACGCTTTATATGTTGGTGCTGGAGAGCCTCTAAGTCTATAGGCCTGGGGTGAATCACTGCCTCACAATGTCTTGGTTGGCACGAAAGGCTTACATTCGTACTCTTTTAATGAATCAACTCCTTTGAAGTCCCCTTCATAAAAGTACTATTTTATAAAACGGGGGTTAAAACATCATGTTAATTCAATCAAATATTGGAATATATTCTAAATATTCAATTGAATTAAAACATCTTTCAGAGCTTAATATGTTGGCATGAAAAATGATAATTAGGTTTTTGAGGGAGGGGGGGGGGGTCATATAAACCGATATGAAAATGGGCAAGAGACTCATTAGAACTTCTGGACAGGGGAACTCACACCAGAGCAAACACAGAAATAGCTCATTAACTTTAATTGTGCTCTGAAAATGACTGACGCGTGATGTCCCCACAGAACGCAAACAAATAGGCAGAGGCACATTTCACCAGCCCCACCACCCCTCCAGCTTTCCATCGCTTTCCCCCCACCTTGCCGCTGCCATACCCCATTCCTCCAAAGAGTTGTTCAACATATGCTGGCTGCACATGAGTGCCCATCTGAGGGGCAGAATGGAGCATCTTGGGGGAAAAAAAAAGAAAAAAAAGAAAAGAAGGCCGGGGATGGGCAAGCTTGGCAGAAAGGCAGGAAAGAGGGGAGGGTCCTAAACTCAAGCCCCTGGAGCTCCTGAGGACCAGGCCAGTGGGGCATTCCAATGGCTGGTCCTATTGGGAAAAAGGTGGGGTCTAATCAGATTTTAAGCATGCTTAACTAAGCCCATCGGATCCGCCGCGTGGTGCTCACCTCGATGTCTGAAGAGGACGGGAGGAAGCGAATGATGGTTCATGGGGCTGAGAAGAGAGTGCAAGCTGCAGTACTAAGTAGAGCTACAACTACATTCATGCCATGGGAAAAAAATCACACAAAGGAAAAAAAAAAAAGACAGAGACAATCAGGGACAGAATGTGTCCTTACAACAAAGAATACATGAACAAGAGCTACATGTGCAAAATCAAAGATATGGTATCAGACAGAGAATCCAATAAAGACCTTAAATACAGCTATGAAAAGAAAAACAAATGGGTTAGCAGACGTATGGGAGTAATTTGTCTGGTGACTTCCTAAAATTCCATATTATGCTATTTATTCAAGTAGCCCTCCGTGCCTGTATACAATTAAAGTGTGGGATAAAGTAAAACAAAAAAAGATGGGCAGCTTTATTCCAGGAAAACCCCTCCTTGTATTATCCATTCCCAGACTCTTTTTTTGAGAGTAGAAGCACATACCAAAACTTACTGCCTGGCAATGGGATTTGAAATAGCCCCAAATATAGTGCTCTTCCTTCTAAAATTAAACCTCATAGCGCAGCTATGACCACAAACCAGAACAAAAAGCTCGCAACTATGTGCATTTCTGTAACACGGCATCTGCTTTTGTGCTGTTCAAGGCTATAACTGTGAAGCATCAAAGGCAAAGAATGGACGCTATCATGGCTCGAACTGTTGTGGGAAAGCGAGCATGAGAGGGCCGAGTAGACACAATCTCTCAGCCTCGCTTGAAATCCAAACTCGCCTTCTTCCAGCTACCGTGATTTTCTTTTATCACCACCTCCCTGTCTGTGCTGGTATACCTTCATCTGTCGTCCTCTGTCCGGCATCTTATCACCAGACAGAGAATAGAGGTCCCACACAGTGCTTCAAGCTGCCACGGGCTGCCACTCTGGACGTGAAAGCGGGTGGCGGCACGGGAAATGCAGACAGACAGCAGAGAGACTGCAAACTGAGAGCTGAGGGAAAGGCCATGATGTGCATTAAAACGGGTAGGAACAACAAGTCGTGAGACTGGCAGCCAGACGAGAAAGGGGAAAAAAGAAAATAGAGAGCGAGAGAGAGGGGGACAGTCAGAGAAATGGGCAAACAGGGAGCCCTCTCTTCAGCGCCTCCTGGAATTTGGCCAGCAGCCAGTTCCTCCATCAATAGCACTCAGGGAAATGGAGAGGGAGGAAAGGAAAGGGTGGGTGTAAGCGAGATAGCGAGGTAGGGACGTGGCTTCAGAGAGATAGCTTTGACGAGTCACAAGAAGAGGAGACTGAAGGGTGGCAAATGGCGGAAGAATGGGGCGGGGAAGGGGAAAAGGGTGAGAGGGTTAGGGTGACAGGTAGCGTAGATACTTGGGACAGAAGGGGCAGAATACAGGAAGGACAAAATGGAAACGGGAGGTAGATGGCGAGAAAGACGGAGACAGATGAAAGGAGCTGTGGGAGAAAAAAGGGGGACTGTGGGCGTGGAGATACATAATCGAGGAGATTGAGCAGCAGGCGGGAGAGAGGAGACAGGAGCTCGCGGAGAAGGCAGTAACCAGAGTCCTATTGATGTGTAATAGAAACCCTGCGTTGGAGGAGGGGGGTGGGGGGGACAAACGGAAGGACAAATGGATGGAGGGAGATAGGGAAAAGTAGGAAGGAGAAAAAAAAGGAGAAAGAATGTGGCTGCGATGCGTGGATTAATGAGCAGAAGCTGGGATGCAGAAGGGCATAATGCTATTTGATAAATAATGCAGGGAAGGAGGCACGAGAGGCAGGAAGTGTGATGGACACAGACGGACGGCTGCCAGCTAGCAAAAGGTAAAGTGGCTGGGGAGATGGCATGATTACTGGTTATGGACAGGGAGAAGGCTGGGGTGGGCGGGAGATAGACCGACACGTGCGGCTGATTGACAGGCCGCCACACCTCCCTCTAAAATAGATAGCTGCTGCTGCTGCACAGTGATGGAGGAGGGAGGAGAGAGGAAAGGGAGAGGGGATGGGGATGGAGAGATGCCCAAAGTAGGGGCAAAAAGCTGCTTTAGAAGCTTGGTTTGATGACGACCAGATGCCACGCTTTCAATCAGATCTGAAATAACATGAAGTCAATCGTCCATTGACAAAAACACTCTGAAAAGCGTGATTTTTTTCAGCGTTCTGTCATTGGGATTAAAAAGAAAATGCCAGTCCAAGAAAACGGACTGTTTGTCATTTTCCGCTTAAATAATCACAGTTTTACAAATTTCGCTCTTTAATTTTTTTTGTCAATTAAGTAAATAAGCGAGGAATTTCCTGCCTTGCATCATTTCATCCATGTCCTATCCAAAATGGCTGATACTTCCACACAGACGACGACGCCTGCATGAGGCTGAAAAGTGCGGCACATGTCTGGCCCCAAAATATGCCCAGTCTATCTAACCCGCAGTCCTCTAAAACAGCAGGGGCTGCCCATTCAGGATGTAGTGCATGCTGAGTGTGATCCTCCAAAATGGCTGACAGTTTCACCACAATGTCTGTGCGAGAGAGGAAACTGTGCCGCTCGCACTGCCTCCAAATCCTCGCTAACCCACGGTGCTCTAAAACAGCAGGTCCCGTCTATTCAGCCCGACTCCCTTTTGTGTCAGTGCGGGCTGCTGTCGTTACCCCCGGTGCGACAGGCTGCCAACGCTTTCTAATGAGTCATTTTTATTCAGGCGATAAGGTCAGCTACCCGCGGCGGCTTAAAAGGCCCTGAGGAGCTCTAGAGTGGCAGCTATGAGATGCCAGACAGACGCACGGAGATGTACTGGCACACAAGGAGGGGAGGGGGTGGCACTCAGAACCACTATGGACAGAAACACTAAAGGATTTTTTTTTTTTAAATCTTTGTGTTTAATAAAGGAAAAATGGCCAAAATAAGAAACGAGGAAAAGGAATAAGCTACATTTCAAAAGAGGCTCCCACCTCCCCGTTTATGCCCGTCTCTCTTTCTGCCGAGCTGGAAGACTGGGCGTGAACTTTCAGAGGCTCCTTTTTTTCCTCCTGGTTTCTTTCTTTCCACGTCTGGGTTGTGTTAATGTCAACTGAGAATAGCTTCTGAGGCACGTGTGAAGTTCAAATCACCGCTGTTGGCTGGCTAAGGGCTTTTGTGTGTGTGTGAGTGCATGTGTGTGTAGGAACACCAGTGTCAAACAAAGACATGGTGGCAGCTTGGTTCAAAACAAGCTGTTCATCCCCCCTGTGCACTCACTCTTCTCATGTCGTTTCAGCCTCTCTTTTTTTAAGAACACACAAATTCCCTCAACTGTTTCTGGAGCAGGCTTCGACCATGGAATTGGATTTCTGTCTTTAGTAAGTAATTTCGGGTATTAACTCAAGTTAAAGCTTCTGATAGGCTCGTGTTTTAATGAGCCCTGATCTCAGGATGGGTGTAAATGTGTAAAGCTATTGAGTGGAGGTGGAATTAACAACACCTATACACGTGTTTTCTTGTGTGTGGCACTGCTGGAGACCTCATCTGTGTCCCTGTGTTTGATGCACAAACAACTTTTTTAGAAACAAGAGGGGAATGCTTTCAGCTTTGAGGATGTGACACTGGCCCGAAAGACGGCCCAGTGACCAGAAACAAAAAGGAAAATGAAAAAAAAACAAAACAAAAAAAAACAAGCAACTGTGACATTTCCCCCCTCAAAACATGACTGCAGCCATTCTTTGCCTCCGATTCTGTCACAACAGCGTGACAGTTTTCAGCTTCTCACACCTTCTGCACAGTTTCTTTTTACTGTGGAAAGCTGTAAACACTAATTGGTTTAATTTGTTTTTCTCTCTTTGCAAAGTCGTCAGCTACATAAAGAGCACAAACGGGACTTTTCCACTAGAGGAACCATTATCCTTGAGTAGGAACCTTGGAGGAACTTTGTGTGTTTCTACTAAAAACATCCCTCCTCTCGCACTCGTACCTTTTAAAGGTTTGGGGATCTTTGGAGGTGGTGTAGAAGTGTCACCTGTGCCTCACTTTCTATCCTATTACCACTGTTTTTGCATGACTACCACCTAATGGACTGGAGCAGAGCAGTTTCAGCAAACCCAAGTCCTTGAATTTTCAGATGGGTTATTTTGAGGATCTAAGTAATTTCTCTGGACCTTTATTTAGACCCTTGTCCCTGCAGTAGAAACACAGCAAGTCCCTGCAAAAGGTTTTAACCTACAGGGAAAGATAATCAGTTCTCCAAGAGTTCTCAATTCTATTAACAAACCAGCCAGTCCTGTGTGCTTAAGGGTTAATCTGTAGTATACAGCAAACTTGCATTTGTATAATCACTTACTGAATGCTACTGATGTGAACAAATAGGCCAGTTTACCGTATTTTACACTTTAACACTGATTAATTCAGCAAAGTATTACTGCTGTACAGTATACACCTACACATCTACTCAATCTGCTCTTTTGTAGCACCCAACCCAGAGACAAAAACAAAAGAAAACGTTAGTGCAAAGATGAGCTATGCAGTATTGCATTTACCTCCTTAATGCTCTCCTCAGAGCATTAAGGAGGTGGACTTAAACCCACCATTAGAGTTTGTGGTTCCATCCCCATCCAGCTGCCGTTTTTGTGCAGTCCTAAACTCCTTTAGGGAGAGGTAAAGCACCTTTCGCATAACCCGCTCCTCCGACCACGGGATCCCATCACTGTCATCCTGTGAAGATATCAAGAGGGTGAAAATGGATTAGTGTAAGCCCTCATCGCAGAGAAAAACCACAAGCAATGTGCATTTCCCCCATTTTTTGTAACCATTAACTCTGTTTCTGTTCACATCATGTTTTGGAAAGAAAAAAAAACTTGGCAGACAAGAACATGAAAAGCACATAATAAAAGACATTATTTGTAAGTCGGACAGCTGTTTATGCCGGGCCATTTCCTTTGTTTCTTTTTGCAAGGCAACAGAACTTCCAAAGTAGTGCGGCGTTAGGTCAAGGTCAGGAAATGCTCACAGGGCAGCCAGGCTTAGTTTTCTCTCAAAACAAAAGAAATCTAAAACTAACGTCAACAAAGTCCGTACATTTTCACAGTTTTAGGAAGAGATAACCACATAATTACTCAACACATTCAATGTAGCATAAAAACTCCAAAAATGGCCAAGAATTAAGGAATTACTTAAGGGGGGAAAAAAATGTGTTTTTTTTTTTAGCTAAACTATGAACAAGCTATTACAATTAGAGAATGAAAACTGAAAACTAATTTTAAATTATTTTATGAATAGTTAACGGATAGTTAATGGTCAAAATGGAACAAAACGGCTAGTTTGATTAAAGTACTTGTAAAAGTTGAAATTTTAAGCTAACACTGTGGATAAACAAATGAATGTATTAGCAAGACACAGTGGATATTTGTAATAATATTAGCTAAAATTATGAAAACTTGTAAATTATTTAGCTAAAAATATGGCGTTAGCCAGCAATGTAACAATAACCTAACAGAGTGGAGAGACAGTTAAAGCTGTTAGCTTACAATACAAACTAAATGTAGCTAAATCAAGAAGAACATCAAATAAATAATCCGAGTTTTGGGTGACGGCTGTGCTAATGTGTGAGAAGTTATGATAGATTTAGTAAAGAGAGGGAAAAAAAACAAATAAAAAGATCCGAGTACAATGGGGACTCCCTTCCATATTGTTCTTATTGCATCCTTCCCCAACATTTCTCACTACATGGTGACATTAGCATGACACACTATTAGCATAACATAGCATTAGCTTACACACGGGGCAACACATTTGCATAACAATACATTAAGGGGTCGCATTTTCCCCACAACGCCGTGGTCGGAGAGCATTAAAGCGATGAATAGGTAGGAAGCAAATGAAAAAGGCATCATGGGACTGCGAGTTTATGCGTTGCTAATCTCTCCCAGTGAGAACGAGACAAAAGTTGTTATTGTCAAAAGAGGTCACCAGGAGTCACACATGCACACACACACACGCACGCACAACACATCCTTCTCCGAGACATGACCCATTCAGACTCGGTCTAGGCAACACACACAAGATGGTCGAATGTGCAGCACATGGAGGGAAAGTTATTGGAAACACTCATTGCTGGCACTGAGTTTTAACGGCTTATTGGAAAAAATATTCCAGCGCAAAGAGCATTCTTAAAAGGGTCTTTAGTGAGTGTCCAACAGCAATCACCATACTTCTTTCCTCCCTTGCTGCGTACACTCATTGCTCTGACAGCTGTGTTTGATGTCGAACAACGCTAATGACTAAAGGAAATGAGATTAGGACATGCGCAACAACAAAGAGGTATTAATAAATAATGGAAGCTGGAAATAGCTTTTCTCTACTCGAGTCATGGGGCGAGTGGTTTTCAGCTGTTAAGTCTCAGAAAAGAAAACATTTGCTGCTTTTATGTAACCAAAAAAAAAAACGAATGTATGCTAATTATCTGAATTAAAACCACATTTCTAGTCTTGTCAACCCATCTCAGCGAGCACATTTCCTTCTGTCTGAGTCAAATGTAAAGAGGCAGACTTGTGTGGGAGCACACTGTTTGTTCATCCAGTTGACTCAGACCACTGGAGCTTGCTCTGCTAAGTGGCTGGCGGACACTGCAGTGGCATCATTGTTGGCTGGGTGCATTATTTTAAAAATAAATATTTAAAATTCCACATCGAACAACAACAAAAAAATTATAATAACACTCATATCAAACTGTTTTACTGCTGCAAGATAACAACGATAGTATTAAAACAAATTCTAAAAGATAAATAAATAAAAAGTTCCAAAAAGGAAAGAAAAAAACAGAAGCAGAGGAGTAAAGATGACGAGCTGTGGGAACACAAACTGTACTTCTGTGTGCGTGGAAGATAGAGAGCGATGTAATCTTATCCTACTGGTATGGATTCTCCCACAGGCGAGTGAATAAGCCCGTTGTTTCCGACTCCTGGGGTCGGAAATGTTCTCTACACACAATCAAACATGCAACTAAGATATGATAGGAAGGAGCAGAAAATAGTGTGAAAGTGGTGGGTTGCCTTTACATACCTTTATTTAAAAAGAAAAAAGAAATAAGCCAGCACAGTACAAATTTTGGATTACAGGCCAGATCCCAACTTCAGCGATATGGTGTCTAATTTAAATCTTATTAAAAGGTCGCAGAGATATCTTGAGTGTTTTCTGTTGATACGACTGTAACACTGACAAAACTGAAGATTCTCTTTGTTGTTTCTGTCTCTTCGGTGGATAAAAATAAGCTCCTGCCTTTGTTTTGATTTCTGAGGTCTGCCCGGGGACCCTTCGGGGAAAGGCCTCAAGAGCTGGTGAGGGGAAAGGTGGGCAAATATTAAAACCTGAGTGTCTGCACATGATGGAGCTGGTGGGTGACAGCCATGTCTGCCTTTATACAAGACACACGCTTGCACGTGCACACACACACACACGCTCGCATGTGCACACACACATGCAAGCAGACCTTCCAGTGCACTGATGCTTCGCAGCCTCTGACAGAGGGTGATCGGGTATTTTTTGGGGGTGTAACGTGCAGTCACTCATTACACTGTCACACATGACCAAACGCACACACACACACTAGAGAGACAGATAGTGGGAAGTATTCAATTATGCCATTTTCTCCTGTAGTTAATGTCATCTAATCCATTCACTGTGTGTGCATGCGAGTGTGTCTGTGTGTGCATGTGTGCAAAAGCCTGCCAGGTAAGCACCAATTACCTAGACAGCTCACTAGCACTCTTTCCCTCCATGGTGTGGCAGAAGGCCAAATGTACACACACACACACACACACACACACACACAGCACTGACAGTATATCTCAGGGTTACAAATGCTCTCATATACAGATTCTATGGCTCGACACACACACAAAAACACCAGACACAGCTGCATTGGGAGAAAAAAAAATGACCTTAAAGTTCATCTGTATTTCTTTTCCTCTCTGTTTCTCTGTGGTTTCCTCACAGTAGTTGGCAGATTGCCACAGATATTTCCTGCACTGTGTACACATGCGAGACTGGGGGGGAAAAAAAATGCAGGGAAGAAATGCTGACCGACTTTTCACCGAGGGGAGAAACGAAAAGAAAAAAGTGACGGTTAAAGCTGTGCTCCGCTGCAACCGCTCTAACCTAAAACTTCCCAATACTTGCTCATAGCTGCACGAGATCAATTAAACACGTTTCCACAGCCATTTTCTGAACCGAGACAAAAATGGGCCTTCTGATCACAAGAACCTGCCTGCATGTGCGTGTGTTTGACAAAATGTTGGTCAGCATTACAGAAACCCTCCAGAACCATATACATCGTGTTACCAGAGGACAAGCTTAGCATGAGAGAAGAAGAGAAACATCTACTCAAACAACCAAAACCAAAACGAGCTGCGCCTCACTTTCCCTGACAAACGCAGCACACCGTGCGTGTGCACGTATGTGTGCGCCTGCGCTTGTGAGGCACTGCCAGAACTCTTCAGAGACCGCTTTTACACAGAGCTACCTGGCACTGACACACACATCTACCCTACAACTAGCTCCCACCAGGCTAGTGGAATTCCACTAATGAGCGCGGGGACCTTTTCGGTGCACACTGTGCGTATGTATAACCAAGTGATGCCTCAGGATAATTGTGCGCTTACTGTCACCGAGCAACCCCACCCCCAACTCTTTTGTAATACACAGGTAAGCCATCCTACAAAACACACACAGATACACATAAATGCAGGCGGATAGGTTTAAAGCATCCATAGGGATAATGCGCATGAAAAAGTGTGTCATATAAGATCATTACATCTCTTATGTCCTGTGATGTTGCTCTCAATTTAAGTATGAAGTACAGCTCTAAAAGGAAAGAAAAAACAGCTTAACCACTGGGCTTCTTAAAATACTTTTTCTGCTCCATTTCCTGACATTATCCTGGAGCTGGCTTAAACGGCTCAAAGTATAACTGGGGCCCATCTTAAAGGTGGGCAACAGTAGCCAGGCAAAACTAGAGTTTTGCCAACAACCAAATAATCCCGGTCAACACAGGTGTATAAACAGAACTGAGCAAATGTTTAAAAGCAGTCTTGCACTGTGCCAGGCATAAGCCCTCAAGAGTCTGCGCAGGATTACATCCATCGCTGCATCAGCACCAGCTCATTAGCTGGATAAAAAGTGGCGCCGGTTCCACTTCATAAGTCCAGCCCCCGTTCAAATGCTCCTCTCTGCAAAGCAGGCAAATCCAATAACCCAGAATGGAGACTGAACACATGTTCTAAATGTGGTGTAAGACACCAGGGTAGGGGCAGAGAGTTGGAGAGGAGGATGGGGTTCTGAATCTTCTGGGCATCCACTCAAAAAGTTGGGAGAAGAAAAAAAAAATCTGACTTGAGCATTCAGTGGGAATAAACGGTGACAATACAGATCTCCTCAGAGACCATATTTAACTCCCATATTAAAATATCACACGCAAACAATGGATTCATTTCGCACAACAAAAGCATGTTGAACACCAGCCCAGTCTATTTTTCATTACCAGTATAAAAATACCCCAATGCCAAAAACTCAAAGCTGTACTTTGCCAGTGTTTTGTTAAGTACTTTTTTTTAGAAGTGTGTGTTTGTGAGAAATTACTTATTACAGCATGAAGCAAAATACGCACACACAGAAGCTGCCTTTAACACAGAGACTCACTGTTTATCCCTGGTGCTGCTACACAAGAGATGATTAAACCCAATACGTGCTTTCTCCTTTTATCATCAAGATGATATACAACTCATGAATAACTAAAACACAAGAGAGCTACATGTAAGCGACACCACTACTGAATGAACACAACTCGTTAGCATTTCAGTCTACCGCACGTATAAATCCGCACACTCGCGTGTGCATACATTTCTGTGCAAGTGTGGGTGTGCGTGCGTGCGTACAAGCTAGCGGTTCTATAAATAGCTCTGTGCTGCTGCCGACTGTGCGGATGTCACAGCAGAGGAATGTGGGCCATGCGCAAGCTGCGATCCGCTCTACAAAACTGGCCCAAAAAAATCTGTTATTCTAACACATTTCCTGTTGGAACACGGACGGAGCAATAGCAGGACAGATAGATGGAGGAGAAATGTTATTTTAGCAGAGCCTGGGATTTTGTTTTCCAGTAGTCGGGGACCGTCCCTACACCACTACTACCCATCTCTTTTCCTTTCTGCACATGTTGAGCTTTCTTACCACTAACACATGGTCCCCAGATGACTGCAAAGACTCGACTGCTGAGGGTTCACAAGCAGTGCAGATGACGTTGATAACAATTATTTAATTCCCAAATACATGACTGGGGCCTCTCTCGCACTCATGACCAAGCGTTTCTGGATCTGAAACATTTAACCCATTAAAAAGACAAAAACCAGCGACAGAGTGGCAATGGGAGTACTGACGAGGCTGCAAAAGGTTCAAATTATGTCCGACTGAGTACTGCCGGGACTCCTTGTGAGTGAGGGATACATATGCAGTATCTAAGCAGTACAGTGATTCACTTAAAAAGAAAATAAAGAAAAACTAGAAAACGTATTTTGCCTTTCTGAAGCTTATTTCCAACGTCGAGTGTAAACAGTGGCAGCTGTTCCCTAAAAATCCCACTTGTCCTCATCCTACATCAGCAAGATCAACTAAAACCAGGCCAGCTTCCTTAAGCATGAAGCACATGTTTGCGTTGAAAATTTACATTCCGATCCTAACTACATCCTGGTCCCCACTTCCCTTACAGCTTCAAGTACACCGGATGCTTAGCTCAGCTTGGACCTCAGAGAATAGCCGAATGGAACAAGGTTTCGGGGGTTGCCTGGGACAAGGGGCCCTATATAATCGCCTCATTATACCACAAGCTCACTGCAATGGAATGTGTGTCTGTGTGCACACACGCACGCACACACACACACACACACACACACACACACACACACATCTGTACAGCCAAAGGGGCCTTCCCTCTTCCCTTTAAACTA